TTCAAACTCGGGAAATTCAATATAACACAGCAGATGGACAACGCTTAGTCGGTTATTTTGCAGCACCCAATGGCCAAACACCCCATGCAGGAATCATTGTTGCACCCGAATGGTGGGGTCGAAATGAATATACTGAACAACGTGCTCGCGAACTGGCTGAACACGGTTATGCTGCTCTGGCGATTGATATGTACGGCGACAAAAAAGTCACCACTGATGCCAAGCAAGCCTATGAATGGATGATGCAAACTTTTGCCGATGCAGACACCATCGTCAACCGTGCGCAAGCTGGTTTAGATACGCTTGCAGCCCAGCCTGAAGTGAATCCCACTCAACTGGCGGCGATTGGTTTTTGTTATGGCGGTAAAGTGGTTTTAGACTTAGCTCGCTCAGGCGCACCACTAAAAGCAGTGGTGACTTTCCATGCAACATTGGCACCGAAAGCCCCTGCGGTCGAAGGTCAAATTCAAGGTGAAATTTTAGTTTTACATGGTGAGTTAGACAGCATGGTCACCTTGGATGATGTTGCCAGCTTCCGTGAAGAAATGCATGCGGCAAAAGTGGACCATGAAGTAATCATTTTTGAAGATGCGAAGCACGGTTTTAGCAACCCATTGGCCGATGAGCGTGCCAAAGCCAATGGCGTAGACTTGGGCTATAACCCAGAAGCAGAAAGACAAGGGCTAGATGCAATGTATGACTTGCTAGAACGCAATCTCAGTGCTTAACTAGAGCTGAGAATTCAAATATTTGATTTTTCAGATCCAACAGGATACATAATTAGATTTTAGAGGAGATAACAATGACTGAGACCCACTGCCAATATTGTAATTTTGATGAATATGACGTGCTTGATAAAAATGACTTTGGGGTAATTTTGCCCGAACCCAATGCATTGTCTAAAGGTCACTGTGTCATTATCCCTCTACGTCATGTGAGCTCATTTTTTGACATTACCGACAAAGAACGTAAAAGTTTAATGTCTTTGCTGGAACTGGCACGTAATGAACTCCAATTGCGTCATCAACCTTCAGGCTTTCATATTGGTTTTAATGACGGTGAAATATTTGGGAATGTGTCTGAACACTTACATATCCATATTATTCCACGCTACAAAGACCAAGAGCTAAAACTCGATGCACGTTGGGGCATGACAAAAGACTAAGTTTTTATGGTTTTAAATGGCGCGTAAGCGCCATTTTTTATGCGCAAAAACTCGGGCTCAGAAAAGACATTCAGTTATACTAAGCCGAATTTCTTGCTTGTGCCTCAGATGTCTCCTTTCTCTTTTTCAGATGCGTTACTGACTTGGTTCGATGTTCATGGTCGACATGACCTGCCATGGCAAGTGGCCGATGATCCCTACAAAGTCTGGGTGTCTGAAATTATGCTGCAACAGACCCAAGTCAAAACCGTGCTGCAATACTTCGAGCGTTTTATCGAACGCTTCCCAACGGTTGCAGCTTTAGGGACAGCATCATGGGATGAGGTCGCACCTTACTGGGCAGGTCTGGGCTACTATGCCCGTGCACGTAATCTGCATAAAGCCGCAGGGGTTGTGGCACGTCAGGGGCACTTTCCTCAAACTTTAGAGGACTGGATTGAACTGCCAGGTATTGGTCCATCAACCGCAGGGGCGCTGATGTCTTTGGGTTTACGTCAGTACGGCGTCATTATGGATGGCAACGTAAAACGCGTGCTCGCGCGTTTTTTTGCCATTGAGGATGATCTAAGCAAACCTGTGCATGAACGCAGCATGTGGCAACTGGCCACTGAACTCTGTCCAACTGAACGTAACCACGACTATACCCAAGCCATCATGGATTTGGGGGCAACCGTCTGTACCCCTAAAAAACCGCTGTGTTTATACTGCCCAATGCAGCAACACTGTAAGGCCCATGCACAAGGTCTAGAAACTGAACTGCCTTTTAAAAAGCCCAAGAAAGCTGTACCTGTGAAGTCTGCCCAAATTTTGGTGCTGCGTCATCACAATCAATGGCTGTGGCAACAGCGTCCCAATAGTGGACTGTGGGGCGGTTTATGGTGTTTACCTATTTTTGAAAATCGTGATGAACTCACGCAACTGTGCCAAAGTCTAGGACTGAAACAAGTCTCGCAACGCGCTGAAATTTCGCATAGTTTCACCCATTTCACTTGGCAACTGGAAGCGCTTTGCTTTGAAGTCGATGCCGATCAACTCGAACATTTAAGTATAGAATTGACCAGCACATGGCTAGACATACAAAACGTCACAGAAATGGGCATCCCAACTGCGATGAAAAAATTGATCTCGGCAATTCAACTGTGACATAGTTGGGTGATCAATTGGGTTCACCCTGAGACTTTAAAATTAGATCACTGAAATAATAAAGGATTGTTCGTGCGTAATTGTTTGCCCCGCCTTTCTGCGCTTGCCAGTTTAAGTTTTGTGATTCTGTTACTCGCAGCTTGCCGTACCACGCCGCCTGCGCCGAGTGGAAGCCAATTACCTGCCTCACAAGTCCAACAGCTGAAAAACATGCGTTTAGCTCAGCAGCTGCCTGTACCCGTTCAAGGCATTAAACGTCATGGACTCACAGATACTTGGGGAGCGTCCCGCAGTAGCGGACGGACGCATGAAGGCATCGACATTCTGGCTCCACGTGGAACAAAAGTTTTTTCTGCCACAGAAGGTCTCGTTGCAGACTTACGCAATAACAATTTGGGTGGTAAAGTGGTTTGGATTATGGGGCCAGCAGGCACTTGGCATTACTACGCTCATCTTGATGACCATAAACGCGGCTTAAGTGTCGGCGACTATGTCAAAAAAGGCGACCTGATCGGCTATGTCGGCAATACAGGCAATGCACGGCACACAGCCCCACATTTGCATTATGGACTTTATTTACAAGGTAAAGGCCGTGGTGCAGTAAATCCCTATCCTTATTTACGTTAACTTTAGGAATTTTTCATGTCAGAAGCGTTGATCAACCGTCTGGTCGAATTTGCTGAATCAGGCAATCAACAAAAAATCATCTTGGCTGGACAAAACCACCAAGGTTGGATCATGGAAATTACCGAAGATGCGCTTTTAATCAGTACTGGATTTGCTGAAAAAACAGGAAAAGATGTTTGGATTAACTTTTCCGACCTCGAACACGCCCAATTGTTTTATTGGGACAATCAACACGACCAATGGGCACCTTTTACCCTATAAAAAGATCAGGAGCATGTTCATGACCACTCAACGCTGCGGATGGTGCTCCTCAGACCCACTTTACATCGACTACCATGATCATGAGTGGGGTAAACCACTACATGATGAAAAGCAATTATTTGCGATGCTCTGCCTCGAAGGTCAACAAGCGGGGCTGTCATGGATTACTGTCCTGAAAAAGCGTGAACATTATCATCGCCAGTTTTTTCAATATTCCATTGAACAGATTGCGGCTTTAAGTGATATAGACTTAGCCGAAAAAGTCCAAGATATCGGCTTAATTCGCCATATCGGGAAGCTGACCGCCATTCGTGACAATGCGATTGCATGGCAAGCCCTGAAACAACAAGGCATTAACCCCGTTGAGTGGCTCTGGAACTTTGTCGAGCAACACGCAATCAACAATGATGTCCCGGACTACCGCACAGCACCTGCACAGACACCTCAAAGCCAAAATATGTCTAAAACCCTAAAAAAACAGGGCTTTAAATTTGTCGGACCCACCACCTGCTATGCCTTTATGCAAGCAGTCGGTATGGTCAATGATCACGAAAATAGCTGTCATTTTAAATAAAAGTACATAAAAAACAGGAAAATAAGGATATAGAATATGACGGATAACACCATTCGTGCCTATGCGGCAATGCAAGCAGGTGCAGCGTTACAACCCTATCAATTCGATGCGGGTGAACTGCAACCACATCAGGTCGAAGTCCAAGTCGAATATTGTGGATTGTGCCATTCCGATGTTTCGGTCATTAACAATGAATGGAACTCTTCGGTCTATCCCGTTGTCGCTGGTCATGAAATTATTGGCACCATCAGTCGCTTAGGCTCCGAAGCCAAAGGGCTTAAACTTGGACAGCGCGTCGGTATTGGCTGGACGGCAGAAAGCTGCCAACACTGTGACCCCTGTGTGTCGGGCCAACAAGTGCTCTGTACAGGAGGACCGACAGCAACCATCGTCGGTCATGCAGGCGGCTTTGCCGACAAAGTTCGCGCAGGTTGGCAGTGGATTATTCCTTTACCTGAAGAGCTGGATCCTGAGTCAGCGGGTCCTTTATTGTGTGGCGGTATTACCGTTTTTGATCCGATTTTAAAACACCAAATTCAAGCCATTCACCATGTTGGCGTGATTGGCATCGGTGGTTTAGGGCATATGGCCATTAAGCTACTTCGAGGATGGGGCTGTGAAATTACGGCGTTTACCTCGAACCTCGACAAAACGGAAGAGCTCAAGGCCATGGGCGCAGACCATGTGGTGAATAGCCGTGATGTGGATGCGCTTAAAACCCAGCGAGGCAAATTTGATCTCATCCTCAGCACCGTGAATGTCTCACTCAATTGGCCTGCCTATATCAGTACACTGGCACCGAATGGCACGATCCATCTGCTAGGCTTGCCCCTTGAGCCCATCAAGTTTCATGCAGGTAGTCTGATTGCTGGAGCAAAATCTATCACGGGTTCACCCACTGGCTCACCTGCGGCATTACGTCAGCTACTCAAATTCGCTGCACGTAAAAACATTGCGCCACAAATTGAACTGTATCCTATGTCACAGTTGAATGAAGCACTGGAACGGTTACATTCTGGAAAAGCCCGTTATCGGATCGTCCTCAAAGCTGATTTTTAATCCATAAGCGCCTCAAAAGAGGCGCTTTTTTATACCGCTTGTTTGACCAACGTCGAACTGCTGAGTTGCGCTTTCACCCAATCAGCCAACAAGGTGACCGCTGCGCGAATATCTGTTGAAATTTCATGACCTGCATTGAGGCGGATACAGTTTTTATAACGCTGCCCTTCACCAAAGACTTCGCCTGGCACAATATTAATACCGTGCTGCTGAGCAAAATAGTACATATCTAAACCATCGATACACTCGGGTAGCTGTAACCACAGTGCATAGCCGCCTAAGGGCTGGTTGATACGTAACTCAACTCCGTTAAAGGCATGCTGAATCATGTGTCGGTATTGCTCAACTTGCTGTTTCAAAATCGGCTTTAACTGCTGTAAATGCTCCCGATAAGCACGACTATAAATGAGATCGGCCAGTGCCAACTGTAAAGGTGTATTCACTGTAATATTTTGCATCAATAACGTAGCCTTCAAATGCGCTAAGCGCTGCGGAATACAGAACCAACCTACCCGATACGCAGTTGAAAGTGACTTGGAAACCGAACCACAGAAAATCACATAACCCTGCTGATCCCAATACTTAATCGGCAGCGGACGACTCGAGCTGAAACTACATTCACCATAAATATCATCTTCAATCACATAGCACTGATAGCGCGCCGCCAGTTGTGCAATTTTTTCTTTTTCTGCATTGCTTAAGCAAAACCCCAATGGATTTTGATAATTGGCCGTGAGTAAGCACGCTTTTGCGCCTGAACTTTGCATGACCTGCTCTAAACGTTCAAGATCAAAGCCTTGAGTATCGGCTGGAATTTCAATAATTTTTCGTTTTAACCCCGCCAACATTTGCAACTGACCATTAAAATTCGGGGTCGGTACAATTACGCTGTCGCCTTCCTTGCTGAGGTGTTGGATCATCACCGACAACGCAGGCATACAGCCATTGCTGATGTAAATATCATCCTGCGAAATATAAAAGCCATCTTCAGCCCAATGCTCAGACAAAGCCTGCCGTAAGCGAATATGACCCTGCTTATCGCTATATAAAAAATCTTCAGGTTGGCTGTGTTTTAAGGCGCGTTGAATGGAGCGGCGGAGCGCTTCTACAGGCACATGTTTTGGAGAAAGCTGAATCGCTCCCAAATGGATGAGACGGCTATTAATGGAAGACTGTTGAATTTCCAGCTGTAGCTCTAAATTAGAAATATCACGGGCTTGAGACTGAAAATCAGGATGCTGCGGTACAGGAATAGATGGGCTGGTATTTTTTTGATAACTGACAAAATAGCCTGACTTATTTTTCACATGAATATATCCCTGCGACTCGAGTAGCTCATAACAGCTCTTGGCCGTATTCAAACTGACCTTTTGTAAGTTAGCAAACTGGCGTAACGACAGCAGCTTTTGCCCTGCGGGTAATTCAGCATTTTGAATTTTTTCAACAAGCTTTGATACTGAAATGCCATTCATCTGTACCTATTTTTTTAACTTTTATGTATCTGTATCCATTATGCCAACAGAATTATGCTTCTGTCATTCATTCACAACCATAAATAGGCACTTTTATGAAAAAAATAATCATATCTCTCTTTTGCTTATTGAGCTTATCGGCTTGCCAACCGCCACATGTTTCACAGCAGGTACAACAGCAGCATTTTATTTGTAAAGCCCTGATTGAAGGGTTTCTGAAAACGCAAAATTTAACTGATTATCAGTTTTTAAGTTTAGCGCCGAGCTTGACTGAAACCTCGACCCAACGAACCTATCAATATCGGTTGAACAATGAACGTGAAATGCAGATGAACTTGCCCCGCCAGAAAAATTTACAGTTCCAATGTGACCAAAGCAGTGCTGAAAACTTCAAGATCTCGCTCGCTGGTGAAGGACATGCCATGCTCAGTTTAATCCAGTTAGACCTGCCTAAGGCTTCAACCTTAGAGCTGCTGAACGCTTATCAACAGCCTTAAGTTTTAAAACATAAAAAAGCCTGCATTGCAGGCTTCTTCGTCTTTAAAATTAACGTAAGGCAGCTGGTAAATGGGCAGGAGTGTCTTCTTGTTCCAGCAATTGATTTTTCATTTTTTGCAGCATTTGATAGGGTTGTTGTTGGACAAACATATTCACAAACTTCAGTGGTATCGACCCCTCAGGGTTAGCATAACCCGAGGTCGAAACCTTGACTTTATTTGGTCCCAGTTTCTGAAAGGTCCAATCGCCCTCATAATGATTTAGGCGCACATAATCTGGATTTTTAAGGATATTTTTATCAATCGCTTTATTTTTAATGCTAATGATGCCCTGACTGTCCTTGGTCATTTTCCCCTGCACCACCAAGTCGCGGTCTTTTAAAGGAAAAGGAAAATCCAGCACCATATACAGTTGAAACTCGCCTTTTTTATCATCGCGCGACAAGACTTTCACACTGCCCATATACGGCACCCATTTCACCGCATGGTCAACATCTAAGATCAATGACACTGCTTTTTCAATCGGTACATCAAACGTGGTTTCAGCCTTATATAAAAAGACCGGGTTTTGCGCATTTTGATAGGTCCAAACTTTAATATTATTTTTATGAATACTGAGTTTGGCTTGATCCATAGGTTTGGCTTGTGCTGTCGTCATCACGGCAACAACACAAGCCATATACATGACTTTTTTCATTCTATTCTTCGTCTTATTTTAGTTTTTTATCTTGTTTTTATGGCGAATGAAGCAGGTTTTTAAACTTGAATGTCGTTAAAACCCAGTACATCTTTCATGTCATATTTACGTGCTTCACGTCCTACCACCCAAGCCGCAGCACGTACCGCACCCGAAGCAAAGTTCATCCGGTTGGTCGCTTTATGGGTAATTTCAACGCGCTCACCATCGGCAATAAACATCGCTGTATGTTCACCGACAATATCGCCGCCACGAATGGTTTGGAAACCAATACTTTGACGCTCACGTGGTCCTGTATGACCTTCACGGCAATACACTGCATCAGTTTTCAAGTCACGCCCTAAAGCACCCGCAATCG